AAGATGAGATAGCAACTTTAGGGGTCAGTGAATTTATCTTCAGTGGGAGGAACAGCTTTAAAAAGGAGGGTGAGGATGGTCACACAACTCCAAGAATATAACCACTGTCACTAAATTGGACTTGGAGAAACCAGTGAATTGATGTTATGTTTTGCTGTATATATTCTTAATAACAACAAGAAAATAAGCAAAACTTGGAAGAAAAAGAAACAAACAAGAAGGTGGGATGGGGGAGGGAGATGTCCCTGGCCATTTAGTTACAAATTATTTATTTTCTTCTTGCTAGATAATCACCTTAAGCAAGTCACTTAAACTTTGTGTACCTTGTTTTTATTATCTATAAGAGGGAAATAGTTATAGTAGCTACCCCATAATTAGAAGATGACTTAAAGCGATAGTTTAAGGTTGAGATTTAAAGATTTCTTCAGGGCAGTAGTTGCAGGGAACTTCTTCTTCCAGTCTCAATGGCTTTTGAAAGTCTGGGACCAGTAGAATTTGAAGTTCTGTACTACAGTTTCCCTTCACATCCCCCCACCCCCTTTGATCAAGTTTCTTCTTTGGAATATTTGATCAAATCTTACAGAAATGGTAATACAATTGTAACAAAACAATGTGTAACAAAAACAGGGGAGTAGTTAATCTTACAGTTAAGAAACAAAGGACCGTAGGATCATCAAAGAAGAAGCGCACAAGCGGAATGATAGACCCTATCCAAAGAAGCAGCGACACCAGAGATGGGGACATGCAGAAGGAGAGCGGCTCAGGACTCTAGAGTCATGAGAAGAGACGGACTGAGAGCTGGTGGCCAGGAGGCAGACTTGCAGAATGTGCCCTTTGATGTTGTAAATTATTATATATGCCTGAGTGTTAAAAAAAAAAAAAAAAAGATCTAAAATGAATAGAGAGAAATACTGTTAACAGATGGTACATGGAAAGGGTTATAATCATTTTAATGAAACAAGATGTATGATTTGAAGAATGTAAAACACATGATCTGCCCTGTAAACTTTCACTCAATTCACAATGAAAACTTAAAAAAAAAAAAAATTGGTTTCCATACTGTATAAGTTGATTAACTCATTTTTGTCTTTCCTAATTGATGGACCATTTTAGGTCTTTTTTTTTTAGATCTTTAAATGTTCTTCTTTTTTTTTTTTTTTAAGGTTTTTATTGTGGATTGAGTGAAAGTTTACAGGGCATATCATCAGTTTTATATTCAACAAATCATACACCTTGTTTCATTACAATG